GCCTTCGATTCTTCCTCCAATTTTCCCTTCTCCCCCCTTGCTGACGTTTCTTCTCCATCAAAGACGATTTAGGTTTTATGGTTCAATATGCGATTTAGGTCTTCAAGGTTCAAGTTTCAATTATTTTGGTACATTAAGTTCCAATTAAAATGAAAAAGGTCCTTCAGTGACCATTACTGAAATCAAATGATACTTCAGTGACCGTTAGTACAAGTTTTAAATTTCAGTGACCGTTTTGTGATTTTGACGTAACTTTAGTGATCGTTTGTAAAATTAACCCTAATGTATGTGCAATATATGTGACATTAGATGGTATACAGATTGGTACACTTACTTTATATATGAATATGGAATCTAAGATTTATAATATAACCAAATCTAAATTAGCAACTCTGTAAGTTTGAAAATATGCTATGTCTACTGAACTGAAAAAATTTTGAGTGGTTCATATTAATTGAGTGCTGATGTGTTTCAATCAACCATTGCATGCACTAGGAGAAGGCAATTTAGTAGAGCTTAAAGAGAAGCACAAGATCTACTTTATCTTTGATGCGGTCTTAAGCACTTGAATAACTTGATAATCTCTAGACGATGACACGTCANATATGATACTTCTGTGATCGTTTGTGCAAGTTTTAATTTTCAGTGACCGTTTTGTGATTTTGACGTAACTTCAGTGACCGTTTGTAAATTTAACCCTAGTGTATGTGCAATATATGTGACATTAGATGGTATACAGATTGGTACACTTATTTTATATATGAATATGGAATCTAAGATTTATATTATAACCAAATCTAAATTAGCAACTCTGTAAGTTTGAAAATATGCTATGTCTACCGAACTGAAAACATTTTGAGTGGTTCATATTAATTGAGTGCTGATGTGTTTCAATCAACCATTGCATGCACTAGGAGAAGGCAATTTAGTAGTGCTTAAAGAGAAGCACATGATCTACTTTATCTTTGATGCGGTCTTAAGCACTTGAATAACTTGATAATCTCTTGACGATGACACGTCATAAGGGTGCTCGAAAATGTTTTGAATTTTAGTTTTTTTTTTATTCACACTGGTTAAAGTCA